TTCCTCTGCAGTAAATAAAGCGGAGGCCGCCATGCTGAACTGGGACTCCTGGACCACACCAGACAATGTATAATACCGGCATCATGTACACCACGGCACTAACCATTGTCATACAAGACAGAAAGCTGCCACCATATACTTAAAACTGTTGTTGACGCTCTCCAATACAGAATGAAAGAACTTTAATTTAGCCAGCACCTTTCATATCTTCAGAATTTCTGAACTGCTGCTCATGAGCAAAGTTGACATGTAGTCACTGTTGCTTTGTAAGAAACATAGCAGCCAATTTACACACAGCTAAGTCCCACTTCTAGCAATAGAACAGATGACCAGGCTAATATAAAACAAAGAACTGCAGATGCTGGAAATCTGAAACAAAAGCAAAAATTGCCAGAGAAACTCAGCAGATTTGGCAGCATCTGTGGAGAGAAAACAGGATTAACATTTCAGGTCTAGTTACCCTTTTTCAGAATATTAGTAGCTAGAAAAAAAGGTTGTATTTATGCTGAAGATGGAGATGGCAGGGATAACCCCATTTCCTGGACCTCTCCCTCTGGCTTTTTATCTACACTTGAACTGTTTGTTGAGAACTGTTGACGTGACATCGGTTACTTTAATTTCTCTGCTTCCCCCACCCACCCCTCCAAACTGCCTACACTCCATGCTCTCAGATCCAACCCTGGCTTTGTAATCAAGCCTGCTGACAAGGGTGGTGCTGTTGTTGTCGTCCGGTAGACTGACCTCTACATTGCAGAGGCTGAGCACCAGCTCTCACATACCTCCTCCTATCTCTCCCGGACCGGACCATGACCCCCACCACTGAACATCAGGCTACTGTGTCCACAATGGTCATTAATCTCATCTTCTCTGGGGATTTCCCACCAACAGCCTCCCACCTCATAATACCTCGGAAGCCTACTTCCACCTTCTCCCCAAAATCCACAAACAGAACTGCCCGAGCAGACCCACAATTTCTGCCTGCTCTTGAGCCATGGAACACCTCCCTACCTTGACTGGATTTTCTTTCTCCCCTTGTCCAGCCCCTTCACACTTACATCTGCAATTCTTCTGACCCTTTATGTCAGTCTCAGAATTTCCAATTAGCGGGTTCCAGCTGCCTCCTCTTGACCATTGATGTGCAATCTGCTTTACACATCCGTCCCCGATCAGGATGATCTCAAGGCTATCCAGTTCTTCCTGGAAAAATAGCCTGAACTATCCCCATCCACAATCACCCTCCTCCACCTGGCCAAACTCGACCTCGCTCTGAAGAACTTTAACTCCTTTCACTTTCTTCAGGTAAAAGGTATGGCCACGGGTACTCACATGGGCCCAAATTATACTTGTCTCTTAGTGGGTATCTGGAACTATACATCCTCATTCCCTGCTTCCTGTAAATACTTCATTCCATTCTCCCAGTTTCTCTGTTTCTGTTGCATTTGTTCTGATGATGCCACCTTCCACATGAGCCCTCAGAAAAGTCCACTTTCTTCCTCTACCAAGGATTCCCTACCATCACTGTTGACAGGGACTTCCGCTGCATCCGATTGATCTCCTGCACTTCTGTTCTTAACCCTTCTCTTCCCTCCCACAATACTGAAAAGGTCCCCCTACTGAGTCCTCATTTCCCATCCCACCAGCATACACCCAAAGAATTGTAAGCTGCTATTTCTGACACCTCCAGTGGGATGCTACAACTAGACACATATTCCCCTCCCCTCCCCTCTCAGCCTTCCAGAGGAATAGCTCACCCAGGTCTACTCTTCCTCCTTTCCCAACCTCCCCACAACCCCACAGCACCTTTCTTTGCAAAGGCAGAAGATGTAATACCAGCCTGTTTACTTCCTCCCCCCTCACTATCCAAGGCCCCAGACACACTTTCCAGGTGAAGGAGCAATTAACCTGCACTTCACTCAATTTATTCTACTGAATTCACTGCTCATGATGTGGTCTCCTGTACACTGGGGAAACGAAACACAGACTGGACGACAGCTTTGCGGAACACCTCTGTTCTGTCTGCAAAAATGACTCTGGGCATCTAATTGCCTGTCACTTGAACACACCACCATGTTCCCTGGTCAACATATCTGTCTCGGGCTTGCTGCAATGCTCCAGTGAGCCTCAGCACAAGCTGGAAGAACAGCACCTCATTTTTTGCTTGGGCACACTGCAGCCTTTAGGTCTCAATATCGAGTCCCATAATTTTCAAACCCAAACACCTTCCTCTATATCCTCTTGCATCTCCACGCCCCAGGTCCTGTCATGACATAGGCTCCTTTCACCATAGCCAATGCATTTTTAACCTACTTATGGTCTCCATTATCAGCTTTTGCCTGGGCTTACCATTATTCATCTCTTTGTCTGTCTAACTCTCTCTCCCTGGGCTCCACCTCTACCTATTTGGTCACTCCTCCCTCCTCTCCTTCACCTTCCCCATCCGACCAACTACTGTCTTCAGCATCTTTAACATCCTTTCCTAGCCAGTAATAGTTATGAAGAGGAGTCACTGGACCCAAAACATTAATTCTACTCTCTTGTCCACAGATGCTAGATGACCGGAGTATCTATTTTTTGTGATGTCAGTTGATGGATAAATGTTGCTTCTCCAAATATTGATAAAACTGCCTCGCTCTTCGAATACCATCATGGGGCTTTTTGTATTCATCCAAGGTGACAAGAGTGCTATCAGCGAGCACGGCAGACAATCAAATCTTTCTAATTCTGCTGAATGGGAGATTTTTGAGGTAGACTCTTCTACATACTAACTGTTCTCTAGAAATCAGAGTGTGTTATCTACACTTAGTGACTTTCTTGCACCGAGACTAGATTTCTTTTTGACTCCTCATTGGGAATCTCCTGATCTAAAGGCAGAACTACACAATGTCCTAACCAGCAATGTTAATATCAGCTCTCAATTACACTGAGATCACAATCACATCTCAGTCACAACTGCTGGCCTTTACTGTGTATTATTCATGTCAGCCTTTAATACCTATTAAATTCATTAAAAAAAGCTATCAAATTTCCATGATCTTTATTAAATAGGAGGAAATGAAGACAAATCAAATCTAAATCAATGTTATGCATTTATCATTAGAAAACTTTCGGACCATATCTTGCACCGATACAACGGGTCCTAGCTAATACAAAGAAGCTGTCAGTTTCTGCAGTATTGGCTTATACACTGTACATCTTCAAGAAAAGGACAGATGGATTCTTGGCTGAGGTGGAGACTCCATCATACAAAAGAACCATACCTAGTAAAAAAGTCATGGTCATGGCAGCTCAAGACTAGTTTTTGAATGTCTAAAGGATTGGATAGTCTGTTTTCCTTTCCCATAATTGATCATGAGAATTTAAAATCTGCCTTAACTATCTCTGCTGTGAGATTGGTGGGGATAGGGTTCGGCTCAAATGGCAGGACAGTTAGCACACTGATCAGATTAACACCAAGAATGGGGTTTGATCCCCATTTTGATTGGGGCAGACTTGGGGACTGCCTCCTCACTCTGGCATGTAGTAAAACAATGGTTTGCCATCTCGTGAATACTTGAGGGTGTTAAGTGAAAATGAAGAATGAGTTGGAAGAGTTTAGTTTGTCATTCACAAGACATAAAAGGCTGAGGGCAAGTTAGCATTTGCTAATCTCATTTTTCATTTTTATGATTGCAACAGATGCACAAAACTACATTCTGAATTGAAGACTTTTCAAAACAAGTAACACTCGTGTACTGAAAGCAGGAATATCATGGATCTCACTGACAGTTAGATGTTTCTGGCCTTACTTTTATATCCATACCACAACTCTTCCGCACATAGGACTCAGATGAGAATTTAGGATCAATTTGTTCCAAATTAGGATTTTCCTTTTTTTTTGTTTTTTTGTTGAACTATCCAACTCATTCAACTTGGAACCAAAAAGATAGGATCCCCATCCCATCATCATGGCAGGAGCTGAGGTGAGGATTCAGAGGTGAAAGGGCAGCGGAGACAGTTTTTATAGTTTCAAATAGATAACCTATCATGATACATCCTCCTGCATTATACCAAATTATGAATTTGAGACCAATGAAATGTCAGAGCAAAAGTAGGCCATCCAGTCTGTTGAGTCTGCTCCTCCATTCAATTAAACCGTGGCTGATCGGATAATCCTCAACTCTACTTTCCTGCCTTTTCTCCATAACCCTCGATTCCCTTATGCATTAAATATCTATCTCAGCCTCGACAGCTCTATGTGATAACGAATTCTACAGACTCACTACACAGATGAAATTCCTCATCAATCTTGCGAAAATTTGTAGCTCGGGTTGTGGATGAGATTGTAGACTTGCTCACCGAGCTGGCTGGTTATCGTACAGACATTTCATCACCTTGCTAGGTAACATCATCAGTGCGGCCTCCGGTGAAGTGATGTAGTTCTACTCCGCTTAGTATTCATATGATCTGGTCTTTTCGGGTGTTTTGTGTCATTTCCGGAAATGACACAAAACACCTTCTCTGGGCTGCCTCCAATGCTAATATATTTTTCCTTAGATAAGGGGAGCAAAACAGTATTCCACCAGTGGTCTGACTAGTGCCTTACATAGTTTTAGCAAGACATCCCAGTTTTACAGTCCAATCCCATGAAGTCCTGCTTAAGAAGCCTAAATACACAATCTAGGATGATGTGCCAGTGCAGTGCATTTTCTTCCCAGGGAAGTTGCAGGTTGGAGAACCTGGTTCTATAACATTTAAGCTATCTTAACCGGAAGATAGAGAAAATGAATTCCATTGATTTGTGGGCGATAACAGCACTGAACACAACAGAACAAGGAAAATCATTTGATCCAAAGTGCCTCTTGCTTAACATTTAAATACTTTTGATGGGCAGTAAACCCACATAATTCTGCTTCATTTCATTTGTCTGTCACTGAAGAAATGTGGAAAACTGATGGAAAGGAGGATTGTCATCACCCACAGAGATAGGTCTCCAGTGACATTATTGACCTGCTGATACTTACTCTGCAGGCTTGGCATGTTGGCATCTTCCGGTTTACTTTTCAGTAAGTGAGGGAGTCGCGTGTACCTGTATCCAAATCCACATCCCTGAAACCAGAAACACAGAATTACTTTCTTTTATTAAGTAGGCCATTAAACCACTCAAGACTGCTCTGCCATTCAATATGTTCATGGCTGATCATCAAGCTCAGTATCCTAATCCCACCCTCCCATCATATTCCTTGCTCCCTTTCTACCTCTTCCTTGAAAACACACAATGTATTGGCGTCAACCACTTTCTGTGGTAGTGAATTCCACAGGCTCACCACTCCCGGAGTGAAGAAATTTTTTCTCGTCTCAGTCTTAAAAGATTTACCCCTTATATTTAAACTATGAACCCTGGTTCTGGTCTCCTCCCCATTAGGAACATCCCTTCTGCATCAAACCATCTAGAAGACCCCCCATATTCTTTTAAACTCCAGTGAAACAACACTAACCAACTCAATCTCTCCTCATACATCAGTCTTGTCAGCCCAGGAATCAATTTGATAAACCTTCATTGCACTCCCTCTATAACAAGAACATATTCCCTCAGATAAGGAAGCCAAAACTACACACAATATTCCAGTGTAGCATCACCAATTCCCTGTTATATTACACTAACACATTCTTGTTCCTGTACTTGAATATTCTCGTCGTAGCGCCAACATACAGTTTGCCTTCTTTTCTACCTGGTGCACCTGTGTGCTTCCTTTCAGCAAATGCACAAGTGCACCCAGGACTTGTTGAACACGCCCCTCTCTCAAATCAAAGCCATTCAAATAATAATCTGCTTTCCTGTTTTTGCTACCAAAGTGGGTAACCTCATATTTATCCACATCTGCTCACTCACATCGCTTCCATAGCACACTGAAGCATCTCTACCTCTTCCTCACAGCTCAGTCTTCCACCCAGCTTTGCCTCATCTGGAAATGTTGAGATATTACATTTAGTTCCCTTATTAAACCACTAACAGACATTGTGGCTAGCTGGGGTTCTAGTACCTGCCTGCCATTCATAAAAAGACTCATTATTCCTACTCTTTGTTTCCTGTCTGCTAACCAGTTTTCCATCCACCTCAATACATTACCCCCACACCCAAGTGCTTTAATTTTATACATTGATTTCTTCTGGAAGTCAAAAGAAACCTGGCTCCCTCTGATCAACTCCACTAGTTACGTTGTTGAAGAATTCCAGTAGATTTGTCAAGCATGATTTCCCATTTGTATATCTGTCCTGACTGTACCTAACTCAGAGCACTGTTTTGTAAGTGCTCTGTTATAAAATCCTTGATAACGGACACTAGCATCTTCCCACTACAAACATCAGACTCATTGGTCTATAATTCCCTGTTTTTTCTTTATCACCCTTTTTAAATAGTAGGGTCACATTAGCTACCCTCCAATCTGTAGGAATTGTTCCAGAGTTTATAGAATCTTGGAAGATGACCATCAACGCATCTACCATTTCCAGGACCACTTCCTTTTGTACTCTGGTATGTAGATTATCAGGCCATAGTGATTTATCAGCCTTCAATCCTACCTATTTCTCCAGTACCCTTTCTCGACCAACACTGTTTCTCCCTCTCACTAAACCCTGGGTTCCCCATCATTTCTGGCACATTATTTGTGTCCCAGATTTGGAGTCGGCAGGATCCGTCAGCACAATGCCAGCTTTTCAAAACGATCCCAAATTCAAAATTCACTGTAGATTCGTGATGACGTGAGCAAGACTGTGCAGGGAGGCCTTGTACAAAAAAATCCACCTTCACCTAACAGTGCCAGGTAGGCGATCCAACTCATCCTCCTCCCAAAGTCCCAACATCTCAAGGCAGCCCTGGAGATAGTTGTGTAACAGCCAAAATAGTTTCTAATTACAGTAATTGTGCTTCAAGTGAGTCATGGGAGACAAATCAGGAATCCTTTCACACTGCACGCTATAAACAATTTTATTTTAAAATCTCTTCAAGTAACGTCACCTTAAATCAGATTATTGCATACTGAGAGGCAAGTTCCCAAATAATTTACCTAAATGTCGGAGAGGATAAAAACCACTGTGAGGTATGCAAAAATGTCACTTCAAAGGCGACGTTGCTGAACGAAGATTTCCCTGATGGGAAATGTGAGCGAGAAAGCACACGTTGCTCATTTTTATTCTGAATTTAATCAACTGAAGGTAAAGGAGTTTGGTCCATTGCACTTGTTCTATAATGTGCTAATGAGGTTAGTACTGTATCTCAGTGGAATTGAGATAATACCACTTCAATCTACTAAGCTTCAATAAACTATGAAAGACATGTTTTGATTCCCGCATCCCTGTTCTGAATTTCAAAAGATACGAAATTATTTCCTCGTTTGGGTCTCATGTAAACCTTGTACTGTAGTCCATATTATGGTGGTCTGCAGAGATTCTGTGATGGTTTAACAAAAGCTTATGAATCAGTGCATGATGGCAAAATACTGCAGATGCTGGAAATCTGAAACAAACAGAGAATGCTGGGAAAACTCAGCAGGTCTGGCAGCATCTATGGAGACAGAAGCAGAATAAACGTTTCGAGGCTGGTATGACTTCTCCTGTTGTGTAGAAGCATCATATTGGACTCAAATGATAAATCTGTGTTTCTCTCCCCACACGTTGCCAGGCCTGCTGAGGTTCTCCAATATTCTATGTGCTTGTCTGTTTTCTATTGCTAGTGTTTAACAAATCTATATCTGTATGTTGAAATAAGCAGCAAAAGGCTATAAGGGTTTTATTATAAATCTATAGTCAGTCACAAACACCAGTTTCCACCTTTCCTTCTTGGACCCATTTCTTATCTGTAAGCCAATCTCCACTGTGGAAAATCCTGACTTTTAAATAGGTATTTTCTAATTAACCTGTTCAGAAGTGTCCTTACACACCTCTGGAGCAGGTGGGGCTTGAAGCCATGTCTCCTGGCTCAGATGTAGGATGCCACCACAGTACCACAAGAACCTAGCTCTTAAATAAATGCAAAGTCTCAATGAGCTCTGGAGTTGGCCAGGTTGACTATAGGACTCTTGTAAGGCAGCAGTTGTGACCCCAGCTCCGAACCAGGAGGCCCACATTCAATATTCTACACCATTCACTATTTCTCAAATACTGTAGCAGTCCTTGACCAAATGCAGCAAGGCCTGAACAATATCCAGGTTTGGGCTGACAAGTGCCAAGTAACATTTGCACCACACAATGCCAGTCAATGAACATCTCAAACAAGAAAGAATCTAATCATCGCTCTTCGACATTCAATGACACTTCCACTACCAACAATCAACATCTTGGGGATTACCAACGACCAGAAAATTAACAGGAGCAACCATAAAAATACTGTAGCTACAAAAGCAGGTCACAGACTAGAAATTCTGCAGTAAGTGATTCACCTTCCATCTCCCCAACGCCAATCCACACAAGGTACAAGTCAGCAGTAAGATGGAATACTACTCACTTGGAGTGCAGCTCTAATAATACTCAAGAAATTTAATACCATCCAGAACAAAGCAGTTGCTTGATTGGTTAAACTTTTACAGGGAACACCAATAGTGCAGTACAGAGTCAGACAAACTAGGGGCTAGATCCTGAAGGCTGAGAATAGGCAATATACAGTTGTTTCTGATGGATGAAAATAACACTGTCAAATCCATGCCCTCTGGACCATTATATACAAAACTTAAGGAAGTTTTGCAGATGTGCAATGTTTTTGGTGAAATAAGCGCCTGTGGAATTCAGGTTGGTTGTGCGCTGCTATCAGCTGGAGTTCAGGCCAAGTCCTAGGAAATGAGGAAGACAGCGATTTGGAGGACTTTGTGACTAGAATTGATGATATGCATATTGAGCGGGCTGCCATTTAATTCACAAGGTCTCTCTTCATTATAATTGCAATTTAATGGGAAACGGGTGAAAAGGCAAATGTCCAGTTGAAGAAAAGGGGAAAGAAAACTGAAACAGGGAAAGTACATTGAAACAGGAGGAGAAAATGGAAACTCAATTGGACTGAAGGATTCTTAGATGAAGCAGGTGAAATACAATGAGAGTGGGCCAGTGAGGAAAGGTGAGTTGACTGAAAGAGCAGCCTCTTGGAATAAAATGACATTCAGACCAAATCCAGTCCACGAACAACAGAGGGATACCCGGGTTCAAGAGACTGTCGAGCCACATTGTGTATGGGTAAATCAAAGGACAAGCAGAGATTTGTAAATAGGGACCTTGAATTCGAAAACAAATGCAGTAGAACTTGGCAAAGAAACAGTGGAGATGGGAATGCAGATAAATAATTTGTAGCTTGTAGCAAGGAACTCAACAGGCAGCACACTGCTGAACCTTAAGATCAATGGACTAGGCGTTTGATAGTAGAGGGGGAATGGTAGCTGAAGTGTGCAGTACCTTGAAGGAGAAAAAAGTGGTGCTGACAATAGCTGGATATGGAAACGCTGTGAGATTGTGCAGAGATCGACAACCAAGCACTAATGGCTCTACACTAAGTATAAAATCACCGCACTGCCAGATCATATCATTCAGGCTAAAACTCCAAAGCAGAATTATAATACATTAAACATATGCAGAAACGGGATAACAAAACAAAATAAAACAAGGCCATCTAGGTGTAGGAGATGGGCGAGGTACTAAATAAGTATTTTACATCAGTATTTACTATGGAAAAGGATATGGAATCTAGGGAATTTGGAGAAATAAACAGTGATATTTTGAAGAAGTGTCCATATTACAGAGGAGGTGGTGCTGGACATCTTAAAACGCATAGTGGTGGATAAATCCCTGGAACCTGTTCATGTACCCCAGAACTTTGTGGGAGGCTACAGAAGTGATTGCTGGGCCCTATGCTGAGATATTTGCATCATTGATAGCCACAGGTGAGGAACCGGAAGACTGGAGGATGGCTAATGTGGTGTTATTATTTAAGATAGGTGGTAAGGTAAAGCCAGAGTACTCTAGACCGATGAGCCTGATGTCAGTGGTGGTTAAGTTGTTGGAGGGGATTCTGAGGGACAGGATTTACATGCATTTGGAAAGGCAAGGACTGATTAGGGATAGTCAAC